TCTGTGGGAGGAGTTAGGGGGGTAAATTTGGCTATAATAATAAGAATATATATGTGAGATAACAGGAAGTGGTCACCATGCAGGAACACTTAATTACACTTTCATACATCATTCTATGCTTCCCGAGCAGCAGGAATTCTCTTCTACTGTCTGATGCTTCGGGCTGTGGGCAGACCCTCGCCTTCCTCCCATACAATGAAGGACTGATGGACCTGCATTGTACATGATGACGTCACAGAGCTGTGACCAGCTAGGCAGTGCATTGAAGTCGCAAAGAGAAGTGACCCCACTGAATGGGTAAATTTAACACCAGCCTAAACTGCAGCTTTAAGGGTTACATTTTCGTTAAGGGTTACGTTTCGGGGTTAGATGAACATTATGTTTTGGGATTAAATCGATGGTTATTTATCTTTAACCATTAGCCGCCCGGCCAATGGCCGTTTGGCGGCTTCAGATATGTCTATTCACACTCCGGGTGCACGCCATTTGGCGTGCTCCCGCACATGTGCAGTTTTGCGCTAATGCAGAGAGGCGCAGCAGTGCGATCTGTCACCGGCCGTGCACCTCGGACACGGCCGATGACAGATCCGAGTACCGGCTCCCGTTGCTGGTACCATGTGACCTGCTGTGACCAATCACAGCAGGTCACATGACCGTTGTATACAATGGATGGCTTCATTCATGATGCCATCCATTTTATACTAGTGCCTAGCTGTGAATGGTCACAGCTAATCACATGCACATGTCATGTGATTAGCTGTGACCAAATCACAGCTAAGCACAAAAAAAAAAAAAAAGCTGAATGAATCGATTTCATTCAGGTAAATGCTTGCTTATAGCAAAGTAATTCTTTGCTATAAGCAAATTGTGTAAAAAAAAAATACTGATCACTTCCCCAAAGTAGTACAATGTTACTATGGTAACATTGTACTACTTTGGTCATAGTAAAATATGAAAAAAAAACTTAAAAAAAATTAAAAAAAATGTAATAAAAAATTAAATATAATAAAAAAAAAAAAAAAATAAATATATATATATATATATATATATATTTTTTTTTTTTTTTTTTTTTTTCATACTGTCACCAATCAGTGTCCCTGTTAACCACCATGCCAGTTATATGATGACGCTGTACAGCACTGGTGACAGTATGTAAAAAAAAAAAAATAGTGAAAATAATTTTTTTAATTTTTTAATTTTCCGAAAAATTATGACAAAAAAATACAACTTCAAAAAACTCGCCATGCCTCTTATGAAGTACGTCGGACTGTCTACTCTGCAAAAAGGGGTCATTTGGGGATATCTGTACTGTCCTGACATTTGGGGGATATCTGTACTGTCCTGACATTTGGGGGATATCTGTACTGTCCTGACATTTGGGGGATATCTGTACTGTCCTGACATTTGGGGGATATCTGTACTGTCCTGACATTTGGGGGATATCTGTACTGTCCTGACATTTGGGGGATATCTGTATCTGATATCTGTACTGTCCTGACCTTTGGGGATATCTGTACGGTCCTGACCTTTGGGGGATATCTGTACGGTCCTGACCTTTGGGGGATATCTGTACGGTTCTGACCTTTGGGGGATATATCTTTGTACTGTCCTGACATTTGGGGGATATCTGTACTGTCCTGACATTTGGGGGATATCTGTACTGTCCTGTACTGTCCTTACATTTGGGGGATATCTGTACTGTCCTGACATTTGGGGGATATCCGTACTATTCTGACATTCTTGGACCTCAAGAAATTAGATTGGCTGTCAGTACTTCAGGATTGATCAATATTCAGATCTATACCATAGTTTGTGAACTCTATAACTTTCCTACAAACTAAATAATACATCCTAATTTGGGTTATTTTCCCAAAGACATGTAGCAGAATACATCTCGGCCTAAATTTATGAAGTACAATTAATTATTTGTAAACTTTTATAACAGAAACAAAGAAAAATGTGTATTTTTTTCAAAATTTTTGGTATTTTTTTGTTAATTTAGCAAAAAATAAAAACCCCAGCGGTGATTAAATACCACAAAAGAAAGCTCTAGTTGTGTGAAGAAAATAATAAAATTTTAGTTTGGGTACAATGTTGTATGACCGCGCAATTGTCATTCAAAGTGTGAGAGCGCTGAAACGTGAAAAATGGCCTGGGGGGCAGGAAGGGGGTAAATTGCCCGGTATTGAAACGGTTAAGGATCACATTAAGGTTAAAAAATATATTTAGGTTGTAAGTTGAGGTTCATAATTTGAATGTGTGTTGAGTCAACAGGTTTGGGTGTGACATAACAGGAAGTGGTCGCCATGCAGGAACACTTAATTATCCTTTACATGCACCTTAGATCATTAGCCTGTGTTTTCTCAGGAAAATTCTCTTATGTGGACAATGTATGCTCCATTTGTAACAGTCATACTACAATGCTTAGTTATTGTCTAATATCCAACCAATTCCATTTTTTATTTTATTTTTACTTTATTGTAAAATATGGTATGGATTTTTCTTGTTTGATTGTTTTATATGCATTTTACTTCAAGCTCCAACTGAGTAACAAAACATGTCAAAGTTGTATTTTATAACTTTAATTTCCCTTTTTTGACATATGGAAAATAAGGTAACAATTTCATCTTTACACCAAACTCTGATATATTAAAATAACATGTGAAATCAATGTGTGAAGTCTGAGGTTGGCTACACAACTGTATGTGCCAGTCTTGTATGTCTATCTATCAGACGGAGGCACTCTCAGTATTATGAATCCCCGTTAGCCTGGCTCCTACATTACTGATATATGATTTGATTATGTGTGAAAACATGTTCCAGCTCAATTCTCCTACCACATGGAGATGGAGTTTTAAAATGAACTAAACATATCTATAAAACACTGTAATTATGCAGAACTCAGCAAAACTATACGCAGAGATTTGCTCCCTGAAAATACAGTGGAAGCATTCACATGGTTTTTACAAAAGGCAATTAACTTTTATATCCTCCATGATCAGATCCTTATTTGTCAGCTTCTTTAGTGCATAATATATTAATTGTAAAAGTCAGTTATGGTCCTTGTTATTAAATATAGTTAAAAAAGGTAAATATATTTGCCTTTTTTTTTTTTACTTTAAAATGTTGGCATATACGCAACCATTTATATGGTGCTTTAACCACTCGCCCTCCTGAGGATTTACCCCCCTTAATGACCACGCCTCTTTTGCTACTCGGCGCTGCACTAATTCAACTGATAATTGCGCGGTCATGCAATGCTGCACCCAAACGAAATTTACGTCCTTTTTTTCACACAAATAGAGCTTTCTTTCAGTGGTATTTGATCAGCTGTGCGCTTTTTATTTTTCACGCTATAAACAAAAAAAGGCCAAACATTTTGAAGAAAAACAATATTTTTTTACTTTCAGCTATAAAAAATATACAGTAAACTCAAAGTTGGTTATAAATTTAGGCCAAAATGTATTCTGCTACATGTTTTTGGTAAAAAAAAATCCCAATAAGTGTATATTGATTGCTTTGTGTGAAGTTATAGCGTCTACAAACTATGGTATAGATACTGCAATTTACGCCATTTTTTTGCTATACAGCGCTGCGCTAGTTTAACGGACATTTGCGCGGTCATGCAAAACATGGTACACAAATGAAATTTACATCCTTTTTTTCCCCACAAATTGAGCTTTCTTTTGGTGGTATTTGATCGCCTGTGCGGTTTTTATTTTTTGCGCTATGAAAAAAAGGCTGACAATTTTGAGGAAAAAAAACAATATTTTGGACTTTTTGCTATAAAACATGTCCAGTAAAAAAAAAATGTAAAAATCAAATTTAGTCATAAATTTCTGCCAAAATGCATTCTGCGACATGTCTTTGCTAAAAAAAAAAAACAATACGTGTAAATTAATTGGTTTACGTGAAAGTTATAACGTTTACAAATGGTGGGAAAGATACTGGGATTTTTAGTTTTTTTTTTATACTAATAATGGCGGCGATCAGCGACTTATGGCGGCGATCAGTGACTTATGACGGGACTGCGGCGGACATTCTGACATTGGGGGGTACTGACTTGGGGTCACTGACATCCCCAGTGACACCAATACAGTGATCAGTGCAAAAAAAAAAAAAAAACACTGACACTGTACTAATGGCACTGGGGAGGAAGGGGTTACGTTTATTTTTCAGGGAAGGGTTATCTGTGTGAGGGGAGTGTTTTACAGCCAAAGTTCAAACTTCTGTTCAGACCAGACTTTGAGCTCATCCCTACTACTGACCTCTAAATGTTGCATTACATACTTCTAATCCATGAGCTCTATTTTACATACTACTGACCCCTGACCTCTGAATTAGTTATTACTGACCTCTGAACAACATAGTACTGACTCTTGCACTCTGCCTTTCATATTAAAGACCTCTGAACTTTCTTTTACTTAATACCAATTGCACTTACATTACTTACCTGAAACCTAAACTGTGCATTACATACTGCCTCTGCACTGTGTGTTACATGCTACTGACCTCTGCACTGTGTGTGTTACATGATACTGACCTCTGCACTGTGTGTTACATGATACTGACCTCTGCACTGTGTGTTACATGATACTGACCTCTGCACTGTGTGTTACATGATACTGACCTCTGCACTGTGTGTTACATGATACTGACCTCTGCACTTTGCATTGCTGTCAAATGCCTGGAGGAGGAACCGAAAAAGTGAAGGCAGCCGCTCTTGCACCTCCAGCTCAGGGCCCCTGATAAAACAAACAGGTCATGTGAGGGCAAAAGTGGCATGAGTGTCTCCTAGGTCTTGTCAGCAACTGTTATGGGCAGATGGGAGCATGCAAACCAGTCAGCACTGAGTAGCTTTCCCACAGTAGATGATGGACTGGAAACTGGACACATGAAGACCATTTTGTACACTCTATCAGTGGGTTAAATCACAGGAACAGCAGACAGGTAGTAGGCTGTTGCACAACTTGAGATCTGGAGCAGGTGTGTAGGTGGGAGTGTTGAATGAGAGCAGGGGCGGACTGACCATTCGAGCACTCGGGCACTGCCCGAGGGCCCGGGGTCAGTAGGGGGCCCCATGAGATGCCCCTGGTACCTTTCATTGGCATTTTCATAGGCTTTTTGGGGTGTGGGTGAGGACACAGGGGCCCCATGATCCCCTATTGCCCCGGGGCCCCATGAGTTGTCAGTCCGCCCCTGAATGAGAGACTGCAGGCTGGAGATGACTGAAGCACAGTGTCAGGAATGGACTTGCCAATAATGGTGGGACTCACCTGCCTTGTGGGCTGCAGTACCAGGGCTGGCCAGCGGGTGCTCTCAGCAATCAGAGACTCACCTCTGCAATCAACCAAACACCTGAAGCTGATTGTGGGGGTTGTATTTAAGGAATGGCCAGACTCACAGTCAGGGCCGTGGTGTGTGTTTTTCCATGGGCCCCTGTATCTTGTATCCTGTATTCCTGTTCCTGTTCCTGTTTCCTGTCTGACTTGTTGCCGACCCTGCCTGATCCTGACCTCTGCTGACTTCTCCTGTTTGATCCCTGGCTTGTGACCCTGACCATTCTCTGCCTGACCCTCTGCACCGCGCTGCCCGCGAGTTACTGAACCCAGCTTGTGACCCCGACCACTCTCCCGCCTGTTCCTGGTACTCCGTTTGCCCGTTTGCTACTGACCCGGCCTGCCTGACGACTCTTGCATTGTATGTATTGTTATCTGTGGGTGGTTTGGTTTGTTTGCACTGTGTTTAGGTTTAGTTTTGCACTGTGTTTTGTATTGTTAGTCTTAATAAATTATATTGTTTATAACATATCTGAAGCCTGCGTTTCCCTGTGTCAGTCCACACCCCTCTGGTCATACCCTGATTCCTGACACACAGAGACTCAGAGATGGTGCAAAGTTAGGCAAGCCAGGTTGATAACTATTGATCAGATCACTTACAATCATGTAGGCAGAATTCAGGATTCAGGCTGGAGTCCATAACAGACAAGTAGGCCAGGAACAGAAGCATAGTTCAAGTGCAAGGCGAAGTTGGTACAGCCAGATATCATTAGTGAGTCATGGCAAGCCGGGTCTGTAATAGGTAATCAGATATAAATCATAGATCACAGGTATCACATAGGCACAGCTGACAAGACAATATTGGTCATTAGACATGTGCGATTTGTTACAAATCTAAATTCGGATGAAATTTTTGTTATTCTGAGTAACAACAGTAACAAATTTCAACGAATCTGAAATAAATTATAATGAAACAATTAAATTAATTTGTTTAATTTGGATGTTTGTAGCATCCGAAATAAAGAATGATCTAAATTGACTCATTAATAGCTGCTTGTTAAGGAATGGCTGACCAGTGGGCCGCCACATTCTTACTAACCATGTCTCAGCTGCTGTCTGCGAGATTCCCTGCTGACAGCAGAAAGTAAACAAAAGAATTTCTAGTGAATTTTTTTTTTTTTTTTAAAACAGTGTGGGGTTCCCCCCCAATCCATACCAGGTCCTTCAGGTCTGATATGGATTTTGAGTGGAAATCTATGCCAGGAAAAAAAAAAACAACTGTGTTGGGTCTCCCCCGAAATACATACCAGACCCTTAGGTCTGTTATGGATTTTAAGAGGAACCCCAAGCCAAAATAAAAAAAAAAATGGTGTGGGTCCCCCCAAAATCTATACCAGACCCATATCTGGGCATGCAGCCTGGCAGGCCAGGAAAGGGGGTAACAATCAAGCACCCCCCCCTCATGAACCATACCAGGCCACATGCCCTCAATAAACAAAGCACCTTGTCCTCACATGATGGGCACAAGGGCCTCTTCCCCACAACCCTAGGTGGTGATTGTGGGGGCACGGGGGCTTATCAGAATCTAGAAGCCCCCTTTAACAAGGGACCCCCCCCATGTGAATGAGAACGGGATACATAGTAGCCCTACTTATTCACCAAAAAGTGTCAAAAGTAATTTAAAAAAACATAAACACCTTTTTTGAGTCCTGTATGTAATAAAAAAAATTGTCCCCTAACTTTTACATTTGAACTATATTAACCCCTTCCAGTCCGGACACTTTTACCCCCTTCCTGACCAGGGCAATTTTCAGCTTTCAGCGCTATCACACTTTGAATGACAATTGCGCGGTCATGCAACACTGTACCCAAATGAATTTTTTACCATTTTTTTGAGACAGATAAAGCTTTATTTTGGTGGTATTTATTCACCACTGGGATTTTTATTTTTTTGCTATGTAAATGAAAATGTCCAAACATTTTGAAAAAAAGTGTTTTTTTTATAAAATTTTGCAAATAGATAATATTTCATCATAAATCTTTGCCAAAATTTATTCCGTTATCTTTTTAGTAAAAAAAAAAAATCCAAATTAGTTTATAACCAAAAATTATAATTTTTAAACATTTTTTATTTACATTTTTATTTTTATTTTTTTATATTATTATTTTTTTTATTATTATTATTTTTTTACATACTGTCACCCTAGCAGTACAGTGTCACCATGGTGACACTGTACTACTTGTGGGGGGTGATGAAATTTTTTTTTTTTTTTACGCTGATTGCTTTTACACCCATATAGGATGTAAAAGCAATCATTTCTCTTTCTCTCTGTCTGCATTCTTGCAGCCATTGAGAAGTACTGAGTGAGCTGTGATTGGTCACAGCTTGTCACATGGTACAAGGCTGTTGTGAATAGCCTTGTACCATGTGACCTCTGTGATCATTCACAGATTTCACACGTAGTAAGCAATGATGTCACAAGTGACATCTTGCTTACTACTTTGCATGTGATCACTGATTGGCCAATCAGTGATCACATGATCGGGACCTCGTACAGAGGTCCCGTCTGACGATCGGTGTTTCACTGTGTCCGGAGGACACAGTGGGCACCGGATCGCGGTGCTGCGCGCGCTCCCAGGGAGCATGCACAAGCAGGGTGCGGGGAGGCCGTTTATAAACGGCCACCCGACCCTGCAGTGCCATTGCCGGCCGTTTTATATGCAACGGCCGGTCAGGAAGTGGTTAAAGTGACACATTTGCTTATCTTGCCTGTGAAGGCTGAATACAAAGGCACTCAGCTCTGAGGTCTTCTAGCTTCAGAACTGTCAAGCCTCTGACCTCTTGTGCCAGAGAAAAAGCTAACCGAGTACAGTTTGTGCTCCCTCAACTTCAACAGAGAGCAGAAATTAAATTAGGGGTCTAATGGACCCCTGATATCTTCATAAAGAAAACCTGGCACTTGCCACTGCACTATGCTATCACATGGGGGGCATATCCGCAGAAAAAATGTATTAAAAGTGTAAGTTTAATTAAAAAAAACATTCAAAAAATGTTTCGGCATCCTGCCCTACTATACACACATAAATGCAACCTGTTACAAAAAATATTATCTCATAGATGATTTTGGATTACCTATGTGATAAAAAAAAAAGTTTAGTGGAAAAAAGTGGAAAAAAAAAAGTAAAGTTACATCCAAGTACATAAACCCACCCAAAAAATGTCCAGCTAGCTCCCCCAACCCCTACAAGTGTAAACACATGCATCAAGACCATCTTCATATGAAAACATATAGCTGCACACACTGGGCTGAGAACAATTATTTTAGGGCCATTATTCATGGCTAACTCTAAAATGATGACCTGTAAGGGCTTTTAAAGTATCACCAATGGAAAATTAAGGGTCCCAAATATTTTGCCATTTCACTGGCTCACACAATTTTAAAGCCTGACATGTTAGATATCTCTTTACACAGCGCAACCTCTTTTTTTTATATATATATTTTACAAAAATTGAGTAATGTATTCGATTTTGGTGCCATAAAATTAACTTAGGTCTATGTTTATTTAAATGTTGTGCTTGATAGACCATTACATTAATATTGTGTGACATGGGGAATTGAAACGACTACTACTAAAGTTCCGTTGTGACAAACAGCGAGCAGGCAGGATTTTATTGCAAAGGAGACATGCAATGTTGCTTCTGCCATAAGATGCACCTAAATGCAAGAAAAATACGTGAGCGCTAGGTAAAATCAACACTGACAGCAGCTGTACACCAAAAAGGCACCATATAAGACCTTTCAAAGGACACACATATAATACAAAAGGGGTGCAGCGCTCCTGGAATCTATAATACATGAAACTTATAAATACTATGTTAAAGTGATCATGTGCAAATAAAATATATACGCTACTAATTAATAGCCAATAGTGCTGGAAATCGTGAAATCCAATATAAAAGTTCATAGAGGAGGTGATGGTGGGATCCCAAGTGATGTAAGGATGTCCTATGACGGAGACCGTGGGTCAGGTGATATAGGATAATATGATTGCGCACTCACCAGATACGCAAATCAAATGCGCATAAATTGTAGAAATCCCAGGTCATCCAATAACATCAGAAGGATCTGGTCAGATCTGGTCACTGCATACCACACTCCCTGACGACACTACCACACCTGAGGATCACCTTGCAATGGATGTAGCTTGCTCTGTGTAGTCAGCTCCCAAAGGAGCTCAAAAGAACAAAGGCACCCACATAGTGCAGTATTTATAGGATGTTTATTCCGTTCACAGGTAAGTAGCACAGATAGGAGTAAAAATAAAGATTACTGACCATAAACGTAAGCAAGATGGCCGCCGGGGCCCCTCGTGGCGCCGGCGGCGTGGCGTCAGACCTGCTGTAGCTCTGCCCTGACGCATTTCGAGCTACTGCTCGTAGTCATAGGGGTTCAGCTTACCGCGGGTGGACGCTACTTCCTTATTTATATCAGAAAATGGCGCTTGTGCAGTTAACACGCGCCGATTTCCAAAAGATGCACCTACCTGCCTGCTTGCTTTCTGTCTTCTCTGGCCTGTAAACTGAGCTGTGCACTTCATCATACACTGCCAGCCCCGTGCTGCGATAACCGACTCCTACACATATGCAGGTGTGACATCAACCTATGCCAACCAATGAAAATGGACGAAGACTGGAACACAGCAGAAGATGCTGGCGCCAGTGAGGGACGGGACCACTGAGTCAAAGATAAGTTTAGTTCCACTTTAAGTAATCTTCAGACTTAAAATGATTTTTAAACGTGTGCAAAGAACACAAATGGCTCTGGCAGCAAAAGGGTTAAAGCATGCCACATGCACTATTGTGGGTAAAGCAGTTTTTCACCGTTTCTTGGGTGCACGCATTTTTGAAACTTGACATATTTGTTATCTTTT